AGCCCAGTGAGGTGTATATCTCAATTATTCCCATTTTATAGATAACAAAGTGGAGGTTTAGTGGTTTGAGAAACTTGCCCTAAGTCCCATAAGCTGACTGTGGCAGACCCAGAGAAGACACTTAGGAATACACCTCCAATTCTTCATCTCTTTCCACAACCAGAACTCAGGGTGCCTATTCTTCATGAGGATGAAAGAAAGGAGGAGGAAGGATGGACCCTGAGAGGGAGGGAGGCCTGGCTTGAACACACACGTTGTCTCAGCATTGCCCTTCCAGGCTGTTCTTTGGGAACACGGAGCGCTTTCAGAACAGGAGCACAGCCCTGGCAAGGGACCGCACGAAACGTCAGCGGCCGAAAAGCTGCTGAGAGCTTTGGTCCTCTTTACCTGTTCTCTGGGTCGGCCAGGGCCATACTCCGAGTGACGTAGCACATCCTGAGGGGGATGCTCTTCCGGTCTCTGTGGAAGGAGAAGGGCTGCGAGGACGATGCCAGAGGGTCCGAGGAGCCACTCCCTAACCGCGGGGATTCGGGCGGAGGCGTTTCCCATCCAATCTCCGACACAGGGGAGCCTTTCTTCACGTAGGGTGTGGCTTCTCTCATGTACTTCACTGCAAGCAAACAAAGACAAGAAGCTCTTTTAAGTACAGCAGGGTGGAATGTGTGGAAAATCTGATTGAATGTTTGAAACTTGCATTAGACAAGCTCTTCATACTGGACCTCTTAAATTCTAAACAAGATTCAGAACTGTTCCTCACATAATAGTTACCCTGTTATTGAATTTATATACCAACGTGGTTTTTAGAACGTGAGAATTACTTTCAGCTTTTTTCAACTAGGGCAGCTTCTATCTTTTCTGACTATAAGTTGCATTCTGGGAAATGGGCTGAAAAACAAATGGGCAGAGAATGAGAAAGCATAACTTAGACACAGGGACTCTGGGTAGCCACATTCACTGTCCATGTCATCATTTTTCTGTTGAGAAACAACAGGCTTTGTCAAGTTAATAGATAGTGCTAAGAACATATGTGTAAAAAAATTGCACAGAACACTTATTTTCTATTGGCAAAAATCTATAATAGCAAAAATATTAGATGTAAGAGCTGAAAACAGGAACAACCTAAATGTTAAAAAAGGACAGATTAAATAAATTGGAAGACATTCATATTTTAAAAATGAGATAATAGAGATGTTGATATAGAAAGACCTGTAAGGCCCTAGCCAGTTTGGCTCAGTGGACAGACCATTGGCCCTTAGACTGAAGGGTCCTGGGTTCGATTCCCATCAAGGGAACATACCTCGGTTGCTGGTTTGATCCCTGGCTCTAGTCGGGGTGCATGTGAGTGGCAACCAATCGATGTATCTCTCTCACATTAATGTTTCTCTCTCTTCCCCTTGCTTCCACTTTCTCTAAAAATCAATGGGAAAATATCCTCGAGTGAGGAATAATAACAACAACAAAAAGATCAGTAAGATCTATTATTAGTTTTAAACAAGTAGAGAGCAGAACATGTATTGTAATCATTTTATGTATAAAGTCATAAATATATATGCTTGTATGTCTACAACTATTTCTGGATAGAAACACAAGAAAATGTTAACTGTAGTTAGCTCTCGGGAGGGGAAATAAAAGTCAAGATGCTGGAGAAACAGGCCTTTACTAGTACTATTCCTTTATTACCCTTTGTACATTTTCATGTTTAGACATATGCATCTATTACTTTACAAAATTTAAAGAAACAAAAACAGTTTAAGAGTTAAACAGACTTAAATTCTGCTTTTTGATGTTTTCTTGGCCTTAAGAAGTTACTTGCCTATTCTGAATTTAAGCACCGTCTAAGTTGACAGGGCAACTAGATTCTTAGAACATGCGGCATAAACTTCCTTCTATGGCTCATGGTCTGGTTCTCTGCTGTGTGGGGAGGACTTGACTAATTATTACAAGCTAGAGGCCCAGTACACAAAATTCATGCACAGGTAAGGTCCCTAGCAGCTGCCAGCCAGGGGTGCCTCCCTTCCCCTGGCCGCCTGCTGCTGCCACAGTTGCTGGCCCCGCCCCTGGTCAAACTTCCAGGTGAACTCCTGGTTGAGGGGAAAATTTGCATATTAGGCTTTTATAATATAGGATGGCAGTGGATTGGAATGGGTGCAAAATAGGGGGCATTTCCTCTAGACCTTAGATGATTCAATTCTAGAAACTAGTACCTTCACTGTGCAAGACATAGAGCCAGGCTTGGCCAGTGTGGCTCAGTGGTTGAGCATCCACCCATAAACCAAGAGGTCATGGTTTGATTCTGGGTCAGGGCACATGCCTGGGTTGTGGGCTCCATCCCCAGTAGAGGGCATACAGGAGGCAGCCGATCAATGATTCTCTCTCATCATTAATGTTTCTATCTCTCCCTCTCCCTTCCTCTCTCTGAAATCAATAAAACATAGTAAAAAATAAGTAAATAAAGACATAGAGCCAGGTTTATAAACATGGCAGAAACACAAAACACATAGATTCCATACTCAGGAATTACAAAGTCATGGGTGACTGTAGTTGTTGCTGTTGATGTCCCATCCGATCCTTTACCAGTGGGGCTGTGTGTTGGCTGAGACCAACTCATAGCTGTCCCCTGCTCTGGAGGACTGCTCCTGGCCCAACAGAAGCCTCCCTGCTTTGGAGACACTAGGGCTGCTGCCCAACCCCTCGGACGGAGACACTGCTTCTAGGGAGTCCCACCTATGACATCGTGACATAAGCCAAGTATATAAACTATGGCACATGTTTTATACAGGAATAAAGTACCTTTGAAGAACTCATGAGAAAAATGGATCGAGGAGCACTAGTAACAGATTAGGTTCATGACAATTTATAAGCAGACCAAACGTGCCCACAGGCATGCAGTATGGATCTATATTGGGAGAACCTATCCTAGGTATTAAAAACAGCTATATTAACTCAAGACAGAGGAGATGTCACTTAGCACCAACACGTATTTGAAAATACAATTTCGGGGTTGCCGAGAACTTGTTAGCACAGGATGCAGTTACAGAAGAAGAAAGGTGATTCCTGGCCACTGTATTTTAAGGAATATTATTTGTTTCTTTGTAATATATTTAAAGAGAAACACAGACATACCTAAGAGCACATGTTGAAAATTTAGGGGGACAGATTTAAGTTGTCTAAAATGGAAATAAATAGATCTGTTTTGAAGATACTGAATTTTCCATGTCTAAAAATAGCTTAGTAGAAGCTAAAACACTGTTTAGCTTTGTATATTGTAGAGCTATACTTGTTGACATATAGGGGATTCAAGAACCAGCTGAGATCGTTTGGAGAGTATCCTTTGCTTGTATTATCATCCTTCTGGCTGAAGCAGGGGGCATGTGTTGTGAAAGTGAGATTCCAGGATGCTTCACGGAGTGGGTGGTATTTCAAGTTGGCCTTAGAGCAGTGATGGCGAACCTATGACACGCGTGTCAGAGGTGACACGCGAACTCATTTTTTTGGTTGATTTTTCTTTGTTAAATGGCATTTAAATATATAAAATAAATATCCAAAATATAAGTCTTTGTTTTACTATGATGGCAAAGATCAAAAAATTTCTATATGTGACACGGCACCAGAGTTAAGTTCGGGTTTTTCAAAATGCTGACACGCCGACGAGCTCAAATTCGCCATCACTGCCTTAGAGGGAAGCTAGGACTTTAAAAAGTAGAGATAAGAATCACAATCCAAAATTTAAAAAAAAAAATAAATTTTAAAAAACACACAAAGAATTGCAATCCTTTAATATAATGTACTCTGGTTTATCATTTTTATTGCAATTCCCTAGGAAAGGAAAGTTGGACCTCAATTTGGAAGAGGGCTAAAGAAGGAACATTTGTCATAAACCTAGTGATGTGCCAAGTATGGAACCCAGTGCTTTCCTCCACTTTCCACATTTAAGCTTCAAAATAACCATTTAAAGCCCCACTGTATATATAAGAAAACTAGGTCCAGAGAGAAAATGGGCAAGGCATCCTTCATTTATTGAGTATCCACTTATCCACAAGCAACAAGAGATTACATTGCTATCCCCTTCAGATCCTGCAAGAAGGAAATGTCTTATAGAGCTACTTTAATTGTGGTGGGCACTAGGAGTTTCACATAGGTTATCCTTTGCAAAACTAATATTATTTCACACATCAGCACACCAATGCTCAGAAGTTAGCTTTTGTGGAGTCATGTGGCTAGTAAGTGGTGAAACTGGGGTTTGATTTCCCAGAGATCATATTCTTTCATGGAATCTGGCTAGCCCACTTAGATGAAGGATGCAAAATGAGAAGCTAATAGGTTTGGATTTTATTCTATAGGCAGTGGTAATAGCCATGATGGTCTACAAGCAAGAAAATGACAGAGTGAGAAGTCAGCTTTAGAGAGAACTCTTGAAGTGTGAGATTGGGTGTACTAGAGGGGAGAACAAATTAGAGGTAGATCTACCAGTTACTGAGCCATTGGGGATTACTGCCAGAGATAACCTGAGCAATATATAAGGTGTGAGGAATTCCAGAAATGTGTGGCTTGATCCATTCATGGGCAGAGGCATGGAAAAAGGCAATCTTAGCCGGGAAGCAATTATTCACCAAGTAGCCACTCCCTATGTGGCACACAACTTGGGGGAGTTTTAAAGGAGAGAAGACTTAGTAAGAAAGGACACCCCATTGGAAATGATATTCAACTACCAACTGAAAATAAAGACAGAGAAAATAAGTTAACAAAGTAGGCATGATAATTTAAAGATTCATTCATTCAGCCAAAATTCACTAGTGAATTTTCATGTGCTGAGGACTGTGCTGTCCATGAGACATGATAAGAAATGGTCTCAGATTAAAAGAAGGTTAATCCTAGAAAAGGAGGAAGGGAAGTGGGTAGACTTATTCTTTCATTAAATCTAGACCTTAGTTTTAGGAGGTTCCAAGATGGACAAGCCTATGGGCCTGGTAATCAAATGCAACCTTTTCTGGAGGAAGGCAATTTAATCCTAGGCTTCCAAGAGTCCCTATGAATCATTTTCAAGGGCAATGAGCAGCATAAAATTGAAGAAATTGTCGCACAAAAGGAAATAAGTTTCCATGAACAAGAATTAGTAAAAATACTGGTAGCAATAGCAGTCCCACACAGACTACAAAGCCACAAGTATATTTACTATGTGTGAAGAAACAACTGAAAGCTCAAGAGAATCATCTAGAGATTCTTTTTTTAAAGTGACCTAACAGATTGGTAAAGAACCAAATAGAATATCAAAATACTGAGAGTGTGATCTAAGTCAGGGAGGGTAAGGTGTTACCCAAGACTAGATTTGATTGCAATAGGTGCCCCAAATTACAGTGTATTAAATAATATAGAGGTTTTTGTTTCTTTTACCAAAAGTCTACTGTAAAAGAAAAAGGCAGCTAGGGGAACTCTACTCTCTGAAGTGGTCAGGGCCTCAGATTTCTGCTCCCTTCATGCCCTGCAAGCCTAACCTGCCATCAGATGGTCCAAGAAGGCTGCTTGGGTTCCAGCCATCACAATCAAATTCCCATCAATAGAAAGAAGGAAGACATGAAGGACACACAATCCTTCCTCCTTTAAAGCCATTTT